TTTGGCAGAGAATTTAGCAACACAATGCAATTCAGAGGAAAGTTTACTAATAGAGATAAGGTTACAAGTAAGAGAAGGGACATGAAGGACAGAATTCAGAGTAATATGTTCAGAGAGCTTAATGGATCCCTTTCCCGCAATATTAGAGAAACTACCATCAGCCGTCCTTATTCGTGACGGGTGATAATAAGGGGTATAAGAACAAAACAGGGATGCATTACCTGTCATATGATCAGAAGCTCCCGAATCAAGAATCCAACGACTACTATGATCAACATGGAATGCCATACCTTGTTGAGCAACATGACTAGTTGCCTTAGCAGATTGAGACATCACCTTCTGAAATTGCTCATAATTCTTACCGTTTAAACGGTGGTTAGTAATCTGTATAGCTGGGTTGTCTCCGGAAGACGAAGAACAGGGAAGAGGAAAGACACCGGAAACATTACCGGATGATTTTTCAGAATGCTTATTCTCAGCCTCAATATTTTCAATTTCCATTGTTCAAAATAAAAAAAACAAAAAAGGAACACCAATCGTTCAGAACTGAAAAATCACGAAGATGAACCAACTGGACCCAACAAGAAGAGTGCTCCAATCGTGATTTAAACCCCCAGAACAGGAAGAGGAAGGCCAGGCGAGCCGTTCTGTGAAAGCCGCGTGACAAACGGAGGCCGGCAGGGCGGCGCGTGGCTCACACGCGCCGGAGAGGCAGTTCTGCAGTGGCGGCGCGTGGCGGCGCATGGATGACTTTCCGGCGACGGGGCTGACGTGGGTCGACTCGGAAATGGCTTCTGAGCCCAATGGTGGCCTTGGTTTCGTGATTGGAGGGGTCCAGATATGGTTTCTGAGTTATTTTAATAAACAGTGAAAAATGGAAAACGGAAGGAAACGTGAAGGTTTACAAGATGACCACAGGATAACCTGCTCTTGATACCATGATGAAATATAAGACTGAAATGTATTTTTCATATATTGATTGACACCCAAAGGGATCTTTATATACAGATTACAAGGTAGTTAAGGAGTTGAAGTAATAAATAAAATACACAGTAACCGAAGAGGCATCACACTACTCAAAGGAACAAGTAGCTAGAAACAAGTAGAAAACTCTAGAATATTCTACAGGTATGTAAGTTAAGAAAGGCCTTATAAGGAGTAAAGCAATCTCTCCGTGTTTTGGAAGACTCACAAAGGCATTGGTGTCATTGGGGTACAGGCAAAGTTAATGTTTTCTTAAAGCATTCAAAAGAAGGTAAATTCAGTGTCTTACTTGTGTACGTCTATAACATTATTATATTAGTTGATAAACTAGTTGAGAAACAATTTTTGAAAGAAAAACTAGCACTTTAGTTTGAACAATTTTTGTAAGGCTACTGGAGTACTCATTGAACAGAGCCACAAAATTGGTAACTTGATATACCTAATATATACTAGGCCATATTTGTCGTATGTTGTTAGGGGGGTTAGCCAATTCATGCATGATTTGAGGGTGAGACACTTATAGAATCCTACAAGTTACACCTGATAATGGATTATTGTTCAAAAAGGGTATAAATGAAAGTAAATATAGATGCTGATTTATTGATCGGATATTGTATGTTCATTGGTGGAAATTTAGTAACATGGAGGAGGAAGAGACAAAATGTTGTTGCCTGATCAAGTGCAAAGACTGGGTTTCGACCAATGGCACAAGGGAGTCTGTGAGTTAATATGGATGAAGAACATATTGGATGGCCTTGGGATTGAGTATGAAATACTATGAAGTTGATTTGCGACAACAAACCACCCATTATCATTGCTCATAATTTGGTTCAGCATGACACGACAAAACATATTAAGATAGACTGGCATTTCATAAAGAAGAAACCGAATTGATTCCACAATGTATTTGTAGAAAACTCAATTCACAATAGATAAAAGTAGAACAGTAACACAAACTAAATTAGAATTACTCCTCTGAATCATAAAACTTTGAAACATCTTCTAGTTATATTTAATGACAATACACAAAGTTACAGAAGCATGCATTCAAGAGGCATGTTCTCTCCTTATTCTCCCAACTTTCTGACTTAATTCCTCCTCCCTCTAATTACAATTTCCTTCTTTTGTTAATAGACCTATAACTGCTATAAGCACTATGCAGCAGTTTCTGCTTCCATTATCAAGCAGTTACTTCATAACTATCTTCCCATATCACCTTAAGGCAGTTATGGACTTATGGTTGTAGTTGAGATGGTTTATTTCCCCTATACTATCTCCTAAAATAAAGTAATAAACCTAAGTAATTGATGGTTTTGGTTGTCCAACAGTACTCCCCCTGAAGCTTTCCCCTTGTCCTAAGGTGAAGGTGAAATTCCAGAAAGTGTCTATGCCTTTTCATCAAATTCTTCTCCCATAATCAACAATTGCAATTGTTGATGTCTACAAACACGATTGAGAAAAAATGTGCCATCACGATTAAAACACAACACTTTTGATCTCCTCTCTTGCATGTCAGCCCAAGACAGCCGCCTAAGACCCTCTTGATTGTTACTTCCTGTATTCTCGTCATTCTTACTTGTGGAAGGATTTATGATTTGAAGATTTGCGCCGATGTTGTGTGGACCCCTGTTCTCCTTTGTTGTTTCTGTAAAGGTTCTTTACATGGTATCAGAGCCGTTCGATCCTCGCCGCCCCCCACTTTCTTTCAAGTGGAATTTCTTTGTTCGCACAGGTAGGTGAGCCTGTGCATTGTCCACACTTCAAGCCCAGTGGGCTCTCGTGTGGGGGGCGTGTTGCAATATATAGTCCCACATTGGTTGTTTGTGCAACTAATGTGGAGTTTATAAGGCCTTGGACACTCCCGCCCTTTGAGCTAGCTTTTGGGGTGGTGACCTCAAGGTTCTTTACAGTTTCTATAAAAACATGGGCTTTGGTTTGTTGAGATATGGAAGTTGGGTTAATGATCCGTACATGTTGAGCTAAACGTTGTTGGACATTTCTGATTTGCTACTAGCTTGCACAAATTTTTTTCTCTTCCAACAATTGGACTTGTGTCATCATCTCCATTAATGTACCAATTCTGTATAACATGAATTCTGCTCTGATTTCCTCGTTTAAGCCTATCAAGCACATTCCTTTGAGGAAATTATCATCGGCATCCCTAATCAAACCTGAAAACCGCTCAAACTAATCCCTATATTCAGTTACAAAACATTTTTTGTGCAAACTAAATTGAATTTCATATGGATTCTTAGCAATCGTGGGTCGGAAGCGTTGTAATAAATCATATCGAAATTGATTCCAAGTAGGTTGCGATACCCGTCCTTCCCACCATTGGTACCAATTGAGGACTCTTCCTTCCATGGCTAGAAGCACCGTTGTCAGCAAATCAATCTATGAAATGAAATTGATTTGAAAATAACTTTCCAATTGATTTATCCACCCAAAAGCATCATCACCATCAAAGACTAGAATTTCTAGTTTCCTCCCAAGATCGAGCTCCATTCTGGACAAATTTTGTTGAAAACTTCCTAATTTGCTTCTGGTGTTATCCTGCAATTCTGGACCATTACTTTGCCCCACTACTTCATGAGAATCTTCACGTCCACTTGATCTAACGAGACGTGCAAGATCATCAAAAGAGGCCTGCATACGAACCTCTTGTTCCGCTTGCCATCATTCCAACCTTTCTTGCCATTGTTCCTCCCGTCCCTCCAACAAACTCAACCGAGACTCCATAGTCCGGCGATTGTGGACCATCAAAAGCTCCTGGATCGGGATGTCTGATACCACTTGATAGAAAACTGGATACACATAGATAATAGTAGAACAATTAAACTAAATTAGAATTACTCCTCTAAATCATAACTCAAAAACATCTTCTAGATGTATTTAATGACAGTAATCACCAGAAGCATGTTCTATCCTTATTCTCCTAATTTTCTGACTTAAAATTCTCCTCTCAATTACAGTTTCCTACTTTTATTTATGGGTTATATTTCTCTCATTTTACATAAGAGAAACAAAGTTTCAACATACACAAAATAGAGGTGGGTCCCAAAAACCTCTACTTTTTCTCTCTCCTCTTACCTGTGGATCCCACTTATAATTTTGTTTTTACTACGTGAGATAACTATTTTCCTACGACATGAGAAAATGATTTCCTTTTATTTATAGACCAATAACTGCAATAACCACTATGCAGCCGACTCTGCCTCCATTATCAAGCAGTTACTTCATAACTGCCTTCCCATCTCCTTAAGGCGTTATGGTAGTAGTTGAGATGGTTTATTTCCCTTACACTGTCCTAAAATAAAGTAATAAACCTAAGTAATAGATGGTTTTGGTTGCCCAACAGTATTTTATAGATATTCTAAGATAATCTAAAGATATCCAAAATGCTAAGAATTATGACTTTAGGATGAAGAAGGAAAAGAGAGAAAAATGACTAAATGTAGCAAACTGGAAATATTACAATACCTTATCCTATTAATTAATGACCCTGATTAAATGAGAAAACAAATCAAGAAATCAAGAAACAACTTCTATGATTGCTTCCTCAATTAGATGACTGATTCCACAAGATGTTCTAAAGATATTCTAAGATAAATGAAAGATATCATAAATATTCTGTAGCAAGTATCAATCACTTCTTAGTTCTTCATAATCCAGGAAATTGCCATTTTCATGGCCATATTGATTGGGTGCACAACTTTTGTAATGCACTCAATTATTTTTTCGTTAAGTTTATTGACCCAAGTTGGTTCTCTGTCTCTCTTTTTTGTTTCTTTTATGGTACCAGATATATGTACTTATTTTTGTAAGTGTCTTATGGTTTTATTGTCTTGTATTTAGTTTTTACATGCTAATATATATATATATATATATATTGCAGTAATTATTCCCATAAGCTAGCAGCTGAAAAATTATGTCAGCTTTATATCAGAACATTTTTTGCATTCTTTCCTTCCTATTAATTCTTTCTTCTAATTGGGTGCATCTGTGACTGATTACAGCGAATGGGGAACATTGATAATGCTGTCCCTTTCTTTGGAGATAAGTTTAACAGAATCTATCCACTTATTATGGTTATATACACCCTTTTGGTTGCAAGCAACTTCTTTGACAGAGTATTTGATTTTCTGGGGAGCTGGAAGAGATATATTTTCAAAACTGAAGCTGAAGATATGGATGGGGTCAATCCATCAGGATTAATTATCTTGCAGAAAGGTATGCAAGATGACACTTCTCTAATTATTAAAACTCACTTCCAAGTTATTTAGTGTTAAATCATGTCTAAATTAGTGAACAACATCGTAATTTTGGATATTGAGTTTGTGATAGTTATGCTGATTATTGAATTTGTATAATTTGTAGAACGGTCTTGGCTTGAACAAGGACGTAAAGTAGGCGAGCAAGTTGTTCCACTAGCAAGGAATTTTAATAGTATTGATGTTGAAACTAGCAACAATATTATGGTATGTCGACTCACCACCAAAAAAAAAAAAAAAAAATTAAAAAAACGGAAGTAATCTTCTCTATTTTCATCTTTCATGTAACATATGTAGTTTAACCTCATATTGCCTTTGACGGCTGCAAGATATGACTTCTGTTACTGTACTTTTTTCTTTTTGTGGTCAAACAGTTCACTAATGTTATAGCTTATATTGTTCAGGAGAAGAATGGTGTTGAAATGGGGGGAACTTCCAGTTTAATCAATGCAGAAATAAATGGAAGTCTGCCTAAAAGTTTGAAGGAAGAGAAAAGGAGATATAGTTCGAGCAGGGAAGCCATCAGCAGCAAGTATGCTGCTGCCAGACTGCAGAGTGGACAAGCACCTAAATTGAAGGCAGAAGAGAAAAACTTAGCGTCTGCTAGGGTTTCCTTGCTTGATCAAGGGAATACTCATTCTAGTAATACTACTGGAACTTCTAGTTTGGCTTCGACATGGCAAACAGTGAAAACAGGCTTTCGGAGTTTCAAGGGCAACGTCGGGGCCAGAGGATTTTTACCCATACGGCAAACACAGGCAGATAAGATCTCTCCTGTTTCCTCGTCTGAGTCACTTGATGATATATTTCAAAGACTGAACCAGCCTTCATTGGACCCCAAGTAATATACAATGACGATAATTATTTGATGGGGGCCAATATTTCTGGTCCTTCTAGATGATTTCCATAGTTTGGGCTAAAAGTTGCAGTTGTTGTAAAATTGGGAATGCAAGTCCATATTATCATGTACAGTAATGGGGAAGTCTTGCATTCTGTTCTTAGCTTCTAATTTTTTCCCCTCTTTTTTTTTTTTTTTTTTTGGTAGTTTATACTCCAATACAACCTATTGATGGAAAATAGTCTGCTATACAGATACACACATACGTTACAAATCAATATCATACGAAAGGTAGATGGTCCATACTCCATAGAATAATGAATACTTAAAATTGTACCATTCGACGGCATTGTTGGTGATTGGTCTGTTTGATTCACAACTTTATTCCACTGATAAGTTTGACATACCCTTTCGAAAAGAATCCAAAATTGCATTGGTTTAATGTATCTCATTATGTCCTCGTGAATTTACTCCGTGATATTTTTTCTTCTTTTAAGGTTACATAAGATAAGATGTAATGTTTAAATTACATTAAATGGAGGGCGAGCTTTGGAGTAAGGAAGATTACAGTTCGTGTTCTGAAAATTATTTATACCATCAATCTTTATTTCTACCTTTTCAAGTCGGAAAGCTCCGAGCCTTGTTTTTTTTAAAATGTTACGTAGATATAAAAAAACGAGAAGAAACTTTTTTTTTGGCGGTTCTTGGATAGTTAGAATACTCGCGCAGCAATTATGTATAGTTCAATTTAACGCGAGAAAGGTTAATTTTGATGTACATTACGATGTAATTATCTATAGTTACATTATTTAAAAAGTAGATCAAAACTAAACTCATAAAAAAGTCAACCCGTTCCCTCCCCAGTGGTCCTGGAATGCATGATCGGTGTCCTTTCATGTAAATTTGAGTAGCTTGGACCAAAAACTACGTTTCTTACTTCCTCTGTTTGCTCCATTAATTTCCCTATCTTTGAGTCGGCTTTTTGAAGCAAAGGTAATCGAATTGCTCTTCTTCAACCCATAATCGAAGCTAACCATGGAAGCAACAGAATCCGTCACATAGGAAGAATGGCGACGGTGAAGTCGGCGATAAGCCGGAGACACATAATTTGACGAGGTTAGAGTGGCAGAAGAGAAGGGTTGAGGATGATAAGCAGAGGAAGAAGGTACATGATGATGAGTTGGTTCGTTTTTGTAGAGCTTTGAGAGTTTGTCTCTTAAGCAAGAGGAGCAAACACCTGGCAGCTGCGTGTTATTTGGGTGCTCCTTGCATCCTTCTCCTTCTCCTCCTCCTAACTCTGACCACTTCATATCTAATCTAATTGCTGCTCTTATTATTCATTAGTCGTAGATGCAATGCATAGGAAATGCACAAGTACACCTTTCCCGGAAGCTTCTTCTTTTCGCTTAATTGATAATATTATTTGTGTATATATATATATATGTATATATATATATATACTATTTGTGCTTCTGGATGTTTTTTTTTTTTTTTTAATGGTTTTCTGATGCAATCTTTAACTGAAAGTGTTGCAAACTAATTTACGAAAATTGCATCGATAATCATGACGAGATTGTTACAAATAATGTTAGTTACGTACATCACTTCACATTTATTCATATTTTATCACACAAATTTACTTCATCGCATCTTTTTTTTTTTTTTTTTTTTTTTACATATTTATATTTTGATTTTGATACCTTACACAAATAATAAAATACAATAATGTACCTCAAATATTATTCAATTGTTGAATTTTTTATTTTGTTGACAAAAAATGAGGATGTTATTTATATTTAGTGTATGTTTTGTTTTAATAATTTTTTCTTAGATAACATGGAGTTTTTTCTTAAATAAAATTATTATTGACAGTTAACTTTCGAGTTAAGGTATTAGAATTAAATGACGACTTTCATTCATTGATAAATCGAAGAGGTAGACAAGATTATGTGGAGAATAAGAAAATGGCGAGCCTAAGGCAGCAAAATCAAAGTTTATCCTTTGACTACGGAGAAGAATTTGTAGCAAGTCAAGGCAGCGCACGTGAGAAGAATAAATAAATTATTTCTAGGCCTCGTACGACAAAAAAAACTACATCAAAAGAAAATTAGAGATGTCTGACACGAAAATATCAAAGTTTCCCATTTTCTAGTTCATCCAGCGTCTTCAAATTACTGTTAAGAAATTAAAAAATATTTAATATAAAATATAACCTTCGATACATAAGAAATAATTTAAAACATTATTTTATTTAATATTTAATATTTTAAAATCCTTAATATTCATTAGCATTTGACCAAAACAAATGTCACATAAGAATTAAAAACATCATTAAATTAAAGGCGTACCAATTTATTTTTTGTTTTTTAATTTATATGTTTTTACTAATATTTTTTTAAAATTATTACCCTATTTTTTTTAATTTTTTCCTATCTTTAATAATTAAAAAATTTAAAGACAAAGAAATTACTTTCTACAATTCCTTTATGAATTTTTTAAAATAAAGATAATGTCATATTTTTATAGTTGTTAATAAAAATGTATCATTAAAAATAAATAAAAGTATTCTAATGATTTCTTAATATTAAAATTACAATTGACTTGAATAATAATTATTTAGAAAAGAAAAAAATATATTATTTACTTATGATGGCGAATTGGCGATTAATTGCGTGCACGTCACGATGTTAAGAAAACGAAACGGTGCACATTTAGATGACCCCCAGACCCAGAACCCAGAAGGCCAGAAGGGGCAGACTTGAGGGTCCCAAGTTCTGATATGTAAAAGCCCATTTGGCCATTTAGATGATCGAAACACTAGTTACCACGAAATATAAAAACTGAGTGAAGAAATTGATTGATCACCAAAAAATAAAAAGTGAACGAATAAATTTATTGTATGTTTGGTTTTGGTACATGAAATGAAATGATAATAATTTTACAATCATAATAGAATAGAATTATTAATTTTTAATCTACAACTTAGTAATTTGAAGGGATGTCTATTCTTAAAACAGTTACTGTAAACCTCTTAAAATTATTCATAGATAGAATACAGTCATAAAAGAAAGATGAAAAAAAAAAATTAACATTTCAATATGTGTGTTTGTCCATCAGTGTTCCTTCTTTTTTTGTTTTAGTTTTTTGGTCAACAATCGTTCTGTTTTGTAAATTGAAACAAATGACAAAGGCAATACTAAGATTTGCATTTGATGGCCCCCATATTGAGGGTGGGCCTAATAGACTCTTTGAATGTCACAATTGCGGGCCTCCTTAAGAAACCCACTGATCCTTTCTGAACCGGATATTATATCCAACCAAGAAAAAATAAATAGAAAAGAACAGATTTAGAGAGAAAGAGAGAGAGAGAGAGAGTGTGAGAATTCTAGAAAATAGAATATTTTATAAAAATGATAACAAGGAAAATGAAATATGATACTTTACATAAAAATATGAAATATTTTAGCAGAAATTTTCTTTACTAATTTTTTCAAAAATAATTGATTATATATTTTCGTGCTTTTCTTATGATGATTATATATGAACATTGTATTCAAAAAAATTTATTATAAACAAAAATGAATAAAAAATTTATTTTATCAGATTAGGGTAAACAATTTTTTTTTAAAAAAAATAAGTATTTTTTTTCATTTTCAGTACAAATTTAGATTATTATTATTTTGGTTAACATACAAATTTAGAATTTATTCATCATTTATAAAAAAAAAAACGCATATTTTGATATGGTCAACAGTAATCTTGTGGTGGTCCTTGCATCAATCGAAGCCTCAATTCATTGCAATTAAATTTGACCACCGCAAGCTATTATGATTGGTCTAGTGGTAAATGATTTGGATAGGTCGTAGTAGATTATATGTTTAATTCTTACTTGTATTTAAAAAAGAAAAGAAAAATTGACCACTGCAAAATAATTTCCTAGAAATCTTTTTTAGTTGGTCTTGGGATTCTTGATTGTGTTTTTAAATAGGTGTTCAACAAAATTTAAATAGTACTTCACTAAGGTCTAAGACATGTTTTGTGACCTTAAAGTTTAATAGCCTTTTCTCTCTTAACTTCTTTTCTAGTGAGTATGAATTACCAATCTCAATACAAGGAGTCCTATATTTGATACAACGTCATGTATTAAAGGTTCTCCTCCCTTCATCCAATAAATGCTTTTATATGATTAATTCTACGGTGGATAACTGGACAGGCTCAAGGGTTTAGTAGCTAAATAAGAAAGTACTTAAGTAGCTAAATCATAATAAATGGACTTAACATTATATACGTAAAGTCTTGAGACATAAAATTTATGTTTACATTGATATATTTCTTGCTAAGTTTATTCTTATCTAAAAAAAGACTATTATATCACCATCATTTATTAAGAGGTTGTTCGGTAGTCCTATATCAGGTAAGCAGCTAAATTTTGTAAAGCTTCATCCACCACATATTGCTTTGAAGTTTGAATGCTACCTCAAACGAAAAGGCAGCTTTTAAAAGTGTCAATTGAGTTTGTGCCACTGCGATGAAGAGTACACATCAGTGTCCTCATCTTGAAAGCCTCGCCCTCGCGTAAATGGATTACCTTCAGAGGATATTATCTAAGAGAGCGACACAAATTAAGTCTATTAGAGGGACATTGATAGAAAGCTTCATTGGCAGGTTCATTGGTCAACCACAGTTTTGAATCAACGCTTCTTTATTAATACCTGAAGTCCTGAACCACACTATGACTATCCTGTAGTAGCTGAAGAGAGGACGGTCCTAACTTTTAGGTATGGCATTTATGAATTCTGATATCAGCTTCACTATTCATTTCCACTATTTCATTTCATATACATGTAGGTTCATTGTATAAGACTTATTTTGTAAGAAAAGTAATTTTGTAATATTATAGAGATTTATTTTGCGTGTCTTAGTTTTTTTTTTTTTCTTGCTTTAAAAAATGCGGACCCCATGTTGTATGTGTAAGAAACTTTTTTGTGTTATGTGACATGATAGATGCAAATCCCTTACTATAATGGACTCCCTTTGTTGAGCAACTGAAATAGCTCTTTTGAGAGAAAATTAATGGTTTATGATCAAAGGGAAAAATGATTATCCTTTTAAATGACATAACTTATGTCATTGAAATTCTCACAAAAAGGTGAGACTTACAACTTTAATTTTTATTATTCACTATTTTTCCTTTATGATTTGTCTCTTTCTCTCACTAAAATTAATACAACTTTATATACTTTAAAATAATATATACTTTGGGTTTATTTTTTCTAAAGTTACTTTAGATAATTTTATCTAATGTTCATCGAAACGACGTCGTTTTGGAACGGAAATCATGGTGTTTTTGTAATTTTAATTTATTTTAGGGTTATAATAGTCTTTATCATTATAATTTTTTTATTTTTCAACCCCAAAACGACGTCGTTTCGATGAACATTAGACAAAGTTGTCTAAAGTAACATCGAAAACTTTTTTCCCATATATTTTTCCTATAATCAAAACATTCAAGCAGAGTGTATGGGATGATTTAATTGAGAAAATCGAAACATGATCAATATTGCTATATATTATGAACTATTTTTGTGAAATGTCTCAAGAATAAGACGTGACATTTAATTATTTTATTTTATTTAAAAAAAACATTTAAAGTAAACTAAATTTATCCATTTAATGAAAGGGTTTTAGTGAGATTTGTCATTTCCCTTGAAACCGAGAAATTTGTTTTAAAAAAGTAATTAATACTATGAAAGATACTATTAAAAAAAAGAGAGTATTAAAACTGATCTAGATAAAATATGATAGGTCCATTAGAGGTTCAAATACATAGAAAAGGCCCAGAGTGGGGCGCGAATGGCTTCCATCGTGCATAACAAGGCGCGATGCCACCATCTCGCATGAAACTGCCCTTTAACATAACTTCAGAGATAAGAAAGCAATCTCAGGGACTAATAAAGGTCCACCGCGCCTTAGTACAAATAAATAGAAGATAGCACCAGCTTGCCAGTTGCCACCGCTCTATCAGGATAGCCTGACATCAAACGATAAGGCTATCGAAGCACTAGCAGAACCTGCAGCCCTTGAACAGCCAATCAAAGGCCATACCACCTTCCTAAAGCGGCATTAGAACCACTGTATAAACAGATGGTACATGCCCAGATATTATTATATAATTCAGTAAGAATACACATAAACCTAACATTGATACTGACTTGAGTGTCAGAGTGTCATTGCAGGTATCCCAGCCAGGCTCAACGCGCCGAAGGAGAACCAAAGTCCTCTCACCATCATCAACAACCGCCAGCCCAAA